ACTAATAGATATTACTGTTTGTTCTACTACATAATTCCAGAATATACACTAATATCTGAAACTTTTTAAAGAAATGCATACTTTTATGCAGCAAGGATGCATTAAATTGATCAAATGTCACAGCAAAGACATTTACATTGTTACAAAAAAAATTCTACTTAAAATAAAGTATGCCTTTCTATTCATCAAATAATCCTGAAAAAAATATATCATGGTTTCAACAAACATAATAAGCAGCACAACTGTTCCCAACATTGATAATAAGGAGAAATGTTTCTAGAGCACCAAATCAGCATATTAGATTGATTTCTGAAGGATCACGTGACTCTGAAGACTGGAGTAATGATGCTGAAAATTCAGCTTTGCATCACATGAGTAAATTACATTTAAAAATATATTAAAAAATAAAAAAAAGTTATTTTACATTTTAATAGTATTTCATAATTTTGTGTTTTTTTATTGTATTTTTGATCAAACAAACGCAGCTTTGTTGAGCATTAGAGACTTTTAAAAACTGAAATATTGAATATAACTGACCCCAAACTTTTGAACAGCAGTGTATCTGAATCTTTTGTTCAAATTACTATTAAAAAATAAATCAGGAAGATTTGCTGCAATGGCATTGTATCAGATATTAAAGAGCATTTTGGTGTATATTGTATTATATTTATGTATTTTATACTCTTTAATCTTTAAAAACATAATATTAACAATATGTAAAAGTAGGTATATGTTGTTTTGTTTAAAATAATTTAAGCTAATTTATATTTTTACCTTATATAAATGTATTTTTGCAATTGTTGTTTTTTTTAAATCTAATTTTCTTTCACTGAAACATTTTTACAGTGTTTACCCTTGGAAATTTCCAGGCACTGTGATCTTTCTGTTGACCAGGGCCTTCATGACTCTGCTGACCATCTCATAGAGAGAGCCAGACATGTTTTTATGAAGTTTCCCCTCAAAACGTCTCTCCACCTCATCCCTGCAGAACACAAGAGAGAAAAACGGTAACGCACTTTGAAGAATGAGTGTAAATGATGGTATAAGTTTGAGTGACATATTCCTTTAATCCCAGGTTACTCTTAAGGTGACTGTCCCTGTAATAATTGTACTGTAACTTGCTTAGGATTAATGCATCTGCTAAATGACTTGCTCTAAATTAGTTTCATCAACCTCGCAGAAATGAAAGAAAGCTACTTTTCTACTTTTAGTCTTGGCAGCAAATGTAAAGAGTTTTTTCAGACATCCATCACATCCTTCAGTGTCCCTCATTCACTCACTCTCACTCACTCTTTCATGTTGAGAGTAAGGTTGATATCCTCCTCCTTGGAAAACAGAAGAATGAGAAAATGATAGCGGGTTTGACCTTGTTTAATAGGCGGGTCCAGACTGATCTGAAACAGACAGGAGGTTGCAGCTATTAACACAGAGGTCTTATATCAGCACAATTCCCAAATTTAGTACACAGCGAAAACAGACCATTGCAAAAAACAAAGCCCTGTAATACTATTCCTAAAGATGGATCCAGACAGAAAGCGGAGATTGTTTAACAGACCATGATGCCGCACTCACCACAAAGAACATCTGCCGCTGGTCCTTATGAGGCAACAGGAAAAGGCGGAGCACTGTGGTGTATGGGATCTTGTAGTCAAATGTCTTACCATGCAGATGGAGGAATGTCGGATAAATGCGGATATCGTACCTACAGAGAGCAAAAACCATTAAAACTTTGCTAGTTCACATAATATTTTAATAAGAAAACAAAACGGTGTGATGTTATGTTTATGTATATGTACCTGCCCCTAGGTGTGAGGCACTGCAACTCTCTGAAGATACACACAGCATCTCCTGTAGCCTGAATGACATCTGCCTTTGACAGAATGTTCTGAGCAAATGCCTAAAACAGCAGAGAAGAGTACTGTGACCTCATTACTTTTCAGTTGAAGTGGGCTTTACGGGTGCAAAGATTTTACTTTAGGGCTCTAACTGGAGTCTGTGCAAAAGTTTAGAGAAAAACGGCGTAATTTAAAAAAAATAAAAAAAGATTAAACTGAACATGCAAATAAAAACTAAATACATTTGTGACGATAGGGGCGGGGCCGAGAGCCTTGGGAACGGAGTGAGGCCGGTGGAGTAATTGATAATGAGCGACACCTGCACCACTCACCGGTCTCGAGTCCCACGGAGGAGCTCCGGAAGGATAAAAGGAGGAGCTACGACAGTGAAAAGACGAGAGAGGACCAGGCCTCAAAAAAAAATTTTTCGTCACAAAATTTATTAAAATAACTAAAATAATATTACAATTAATTATTTTAAAATTAAATAATACAGTACGGTACTATAAAAAGCAATATAATAAAAACAATTTTTTAAAATAATATTTTATACATTTATAATGTTATTTTTTTCTGATCAAATTAGATTCAGTTGGGTCTTTTTACATGAAAATGAGTAGCATAATTTTAGGACGGGTGTCACTCGCACAAGGATGATCATATTTTGGGTCATCTAAAGATTGAAAACCCCTGCTTTATAGGCATATTATGATTATTACTTTGTAACCTATGCCATCTGTTGGTCACTGTTAGGTAGTGGGGCACACACAAGCATGCACACTTACCTCCACAGGGTCTGAACCCTCGTCCCCTGTGCTGGGTGGGACATAGAAGCGCACCTCCATGAGGGATACCTCTGTGTCATCGTTCTGATGAAACTCCACAGTGACCTCATTCTTTCCCGTCGCACACTGGGACACACTGGTGAGCGGAATCTCAAACGCAGGACTCTCATTCACCTCAAATGAAAGCAACGGCCCTGAAAAGCCACAGAAGGACAAAATGTTTAATACTTGGATATGGCAGTGAAAGCTATGTTTATTCAAATGCAAAGCTGGTTAGTTATTAACAGTCTTCTATTATTTCTATTAATTATTATGAATTGATTTATGATTTCTAGTGGTCGACCAATACGGTCTGTTGATCACCAATGGCGGTGTCTTAAAAATCAGGATGGCTGATAGCTGATATAAATTTAATAAATGATATCCACAGTGTTTTATTTAAAGATTCTAAGTAATGCATGTATACCAAGTGCTGTAATTAAATTTGTATTTTTTCTCTACATAACATTTACTACATTAGACATTATTCAAATTATAGAAATTACTCAATATTTAAAAAAACATTTCTGAAATTGATTAAAAAAATAAACCTGTAAAATAAAAAGATTTATACTTAGCTATGCTTGGTTCTGTAATCCTATTATAGTATCTTTCACAAATAAAGAAATCGCTGAATACAAGTCTGTGTGCACTGGGAATAACTTTTTTCCCCCACTGTAAATATGACACCGCACAGCATAGTTTGACATCAAGGATTTAAAGCTGGTATATGAGGAAGTATTATAGTGTTTGCCTTTCTATTATTACTTTAGTAATAATATTTTAGTAATCTAGTAATCTATATAATAGTAGTCAATTATTACTTTCTATTATTACCAATAATTTAGTTCACTTAAGAACTGTTAAACAAAGTAAATGAATAAAGAATGAGCACGCTAAAGTGTCTCGCGCTTAAGCGACACTTATCGGGCAAAAAGAAAAAAAAGTTTGTTAATGCCAATAACTAAAAAAGTGCCAAATATCAGCAAATATATATGGTGATATATCAGTCAACCACTAATTATTTCTAGAATTTCAATGTCAAAAGTCTAATACTGTAAAAGTTATAATACTGAACCATTCTGCCTACAGCCTATAGAAACCTGAATTAAGGTCACTATAAAAAAAATGTTATACTGTACATATCTCAGAAATGGTGTTGCATTAGGAATGCACTGACCATTAAATTTAGCAGTGCCCCAATTCCAGCCCTTCACACACATATCTTTCTCAAACAGCTCCACTTTGTAGTTGGCTTTGAAGTACTCTGAGATCTTCTCAAAGTCCTGTGCATAAAAAGAGAGCGGAAAATTTAAGACATGTAACGAAACAGTGGAGGATGGAGCAAATTTATCTACTTTTATTTAATGTATTTTGTATCTCGGACTCACAGTGTCTTTGAAGCCATCATATTTATAGATGTTTCCAGTGCTGGTGCACAGCTTGATGCCGTGACCCAGACAGACTCTCCTCCACTGGGCTTGAGTGAGCTCAGGCACCGGAATGCTGTCCACCTTCCCAGTCTTACTGTTTTTATACACCACTGTCTGCTTGCTGAAGCGAAGACGCCCGTCGTTCTGTAGAGATCAGTCAGACATTTTCAAGAATAACATCTCAGATTAGACTGCAGACTGTTGCGGTATCTACTCACCCAGGAGCCCTTGACCTCCTGATAAATTTCATTGAATTCCAGAGTGTCATTCATGTCTGCCACTCTAGCTTAGACAGAGTGGACCTGTGACGTTCAAAAGCTGCGACAGCAGAGGTAAAATCATAAATATACATTATACAGTATTCATATAGATTTTTTTATTTTCTCTGCATGTGGCTTTATGAATTTGGTAACGTTTCAAGAGTGTTGTCAATGGTAGAAATTTCCTAATTGACATTGAGTCGGCATGATTTGGATGTCATTTAGCTTTGTGCTATAAAATACGTCTGAATATATTGGAGAGGCACCTCAAATGTTGTTTTTTGTTTTGTTTTTTTTAAATCTAAACAAATAAATGGAGCTAGCGAAGCTACCTTATTCTGGCATCCAAAAGCGGCTAGTGTTTTTCTGTTTTTGTGACGAATGACACATTTTAAATTGACAGTAAATTTCTAACAGGACTAGTTTATTTCGAACACTTTTATGGCATAGAAAATGAAATATGTGAGATATTTGAATCAGTATTACTGTTATTCCGCGAGAGGATCAAGGCCGAGTCCCGTGTGCGTAGATTTGCGGAGCGCAGCGCTTAACGCGTTCGTCATGACGCCATCACGCTCTGCGCGTAGCCCCGCCCTTCCTATTGTATGACCGTCTGTTTTGTAACGATCGAGTTAAAAGGCTTTATTGATGAACGACAGCATCCTAGCAGCATTCAGGTGTGCCGTGAATTTCATATGTAAGGGGATGCACGTGCAATTTTACAAAAGCTTTAGTCCAGGTCGGAAGCAGTGTTCAATCGATCGATAAATAAAAATTGCCTTTACTGGTCATTTTAATGCTTTATTTTTTTAACTCTACACAAAATGAATAATTTGTAGGCTACTTTGTTACATACGTGAGCATTTTTGACTAAAGATATACTTTACTGTACGCTGCTGCGATGTTACCTATTAACAAAATGTATAAAACACAAGTGTTGTGTATACAATAACATTATGCATTTACAACATTCTTGATGAATGAGCTGAAGATGAATGATTTAGACTTATCCTCATGATGGAAACCTGTATGACTTTAGTTAACTACATAATATTTTTCATTGTTAGTTCAAGTAAACTAATGTGTTACTCACTGTTCTTTATTTTTAGATAAGACGCCTAAGCGTGGCCTCATAACCGACACCTTCATGGGTGTGAAGAAGGCAAGGAGAGGGGGCAAGAGAGACAAGTCTCCTTCACCGCCAGTAGCAGGTGGGACAGGATGTTTGTTTCTGTTTGTGTATGTGCATATTTCAGTGAAAGCAGAGATCTGCAATATGTCATCATATTCCTAAACTGCAAATTATTTAGAGGCGCATGCAAATGCACCAGTGATGCAGCAGCATTTATAACAATGTTATAACTTACCAGAACCTGAGCCCCCACAACTGAGTGAAAGAGAAAAAGATCTACAAGAACTGAAGAAGTTTGATCTGGACTGCAAATTCGGACCATGCACAGGTGCGTTATTAATTTTACTAATCAATCTCTATGTGCAACTTTGTCATTTTTTTGTGGTTTCTGTAGACTGTACAGCAATAAAATCCTGAAATGTATCAGCCGTGTCACTTTGAGCTCTTTAATTCTTTTCAAGATTAAAATAATATATAATAGTGTGTGTGTGTGTGTGTGTGTGTGTGTGTGTGTGTGTGTGTGTGTGTGTGTGTTAGGGATCAGTCGACTGCAGAGATGGGAGAGGGCAGCACTGCATGGGCTGAATCCCCCGCAGGAGATTAAAGACATTTTACTGAAGGAGAGCACTGACCCAGAGTACACACAGAGGTATTACTAATATGCAATCACATACTCTCTCTCTCTCCCTTTTACACATGCAGATACAATCAAAAACCAGCCGAAGCCTGTCACTATAATGCTCATTTTCTTTCTCTGTTTCAGTCTCTGGTGTGACTATCCCCTCTGAAAAACTGATGGAGAAAAGACAGAAAGATGAGAAATGAAGAAATACTTTTGTAGTGTTTGATATGTTCTAATATGTTTGCTTTGTTGTTTATTACACTACATTTTATTAAACATTTTATACTCAAAGGTTATTGTTGAGTCATGGTTTACTCTCTGTGCGCCTGCTCTATATGCATAACAATATCAATCACATATATCCTTATATGCCTTTTTTATTTATTCTATTTTATTTATTGTATTTTTTATCTTATTTGTATATTCTGTAATTTTTTATACATTTGTGTTACATTTACATTTTGTAAGTGCCTTGTAATCTTAAACCACAAATTGAAAAGTTAAAAGGCCTACTTATGAACAACATGTACAAATAAGTTCTTATCCGACAATATTTTAGCATCATTCAGTGAACTTCAATGCTTAAATGGATCCCAAACTATTTTGCAAAAGCATTATTGTTTAACAGATCGATTAATAATGATCACCTTTACTGGTGCTTTTAAAATTAATTATATGGAATTGAAAATGGGCATGCTACACAAAAATGCACTGTTTTATGCTTTATTATAATTCTACATAGGCCCACTTGTTTGTGAAATGCTCAGAGAGCAACTTTTATGGCTAAAGATCCCCTGTGCTGTGTGCTGCAATATTTCCAAATTAACAAAGTTTATTAAAAAAAAACACTGATTTAATTTCACAGATACATGTTATTGATCACTCAATATACAATTGCATTTTTTGCATTTCTAGCTGTTAAAATAGCTTTTACAGTAAGGCATATGTATATGTAACATATATGCATGCAGGAATTACAACAGTCCCTCTCGAGAATGATATTAATTAGGGGCAGATAATTATGGCAACCACTGAAATAGGTCAGATCCCTTTCCACCCCATCAACCTGCGTGTTTGACTGGAATTGATTATATTTTCCCGTCGACGTGGATTATGGGTTTGAACAAATTTGCTGGTTCTGCATATCGACCTCATACACTTATTTATTTGTTTATTTTTTTTCTCCTTTGATAAGTATTTGTTATTTGAGAAGGTTCGGGAAATATCGAAAAACATCATCGGGGGCGTGACCTATGGCGGAAGTATATATATATATATATTTTATTAATAGCAAATAAATGTACATACAAAATAGGAATTGAACAAACAATATTACCTCATACACTTGTGGCCCTAGTATTCACAAGCGAGCGCGTCATTAGCCACAATATACCTTCCTTGAGTGACAGATGGATGCGGGGGAGGGGCTGGATTATTGACCCAAGCGACGTTGTCTCGCCTCTTCGGTTAGAGCTGCTTCTCATTGGTTCACAACAGCGTCACTTAACATCACGTAGCCTGAGTGGTTTATGTAAATATAAATTATACTGTCGCACGCAACGGTCACTGGTTAAACAGAAAGCCACAGTGCGGGTGGAAGCCCCGCCCTCCTGCAGCAAGAACGAGTAGGCGGGACTATCAGTTGAAGAACGAAGCTGATTTGTCCACTCCATCCGTCCGGATGATGTTTTGATTGCCCATTGGCTGCAGTGCTGCCCATCGATGCTGCGACTGAAGCGCCTACGGTAATAATGTCGCTCAGTGACCTAGTATTAAATAAAGCGACGGTTATGTAGATAGGAGGTAGCGGCGGATTATAGCATCGGCTTGGCCATTTTAAATACTACCGGTACATTCAAGAAGACTTGATAGCGTCGAAAATCTACTAAAAAAAAAATCAATCATTCATCCCGCAGTGAATTATTTTTGTATAATATTCCAGATCATGCTGAAATCAGTAGGAAAACGCATAGCAGAAAATCAGCATTTGCCTTGAGCAGCGCGGCAGTGCGATCTCCCTGCCTCTCTGTCCGATTGGATTTCATCAGCAGATCGATCTACAATAGCACACCGCATTGGGTTTTAACTGGGATATATTCTCTCTTGTCGCGGTTTAGCATATCGGTTTGGTGTAACGGAAGTTATTGGTTTGCAGAGGACTGAATTACAGTTTAACTGGTGAGTAAGGTGTTGTCGGCATCATGCTGTGTCTGATAATACAGTAGACTGGGAGGTTATCGATCACAGTGCCTGCAGGATCAGTCATTTAGAGGGAATCTGATCAGCAGTGTGTCAGCTGTAAGTCAAACTTGACAGGAAGATACACAATTCACAGCTTGTAACCACTCGCTATTATTTACATTTGCATCGTCGTTGGCATAAAATGAACCGAAACATTTAGCCTCGGATATTTATGTGAGAGACCTATCGAGTTAAATATTATCTTGAATGGTTCTATTCAGAAAGTCATCATAATAACTAAGCCTGCAGGTAACGCAGAGTAACAGGTGCGCAGTAGTTTCGCGTCCTAATACAGTTTCATGAAAATATAATATCCTGGGTCTTTTATTCAGGCAGGTAATCATAGATACACAACAAGTGCACACAGGTGTTTACTGTAGTTGCGTTACGTTAGGATACTGTGCTTTTTGTTTGAGTCTCGTTTGAATATGAAAGGTTTAATTCAGATAAAAATGAAAATTTTTAATCCCTCATGTTGGTCCAAACATGAATATGTCAGACAGAAAGTTCATGCAGTCAAAGTGGACAGTGATGACGACTATGATTTTTACATGGGAAGGTTGTCATTTTTTTGTATGGTAACATAAGGCTGAGTAAATGATGATGGAATTAGATTTTGAGATGTATTATTTTCTTGCAGGGATGGACAATGCCCATACAAAGACGGTTGAGGAGGTGCTGGGATATTTCGGTGTCAACGAGACAACGGGACTGAGCTCTGAGCAATTAAGGAAGAGCAGAGAAAGCTGGGGCCCCAATGGTACTACATCTCTTGCATAAATACAACTGTTTTGAGCATTATGAACAACAGAAAATGTCATGATGAGATTTCATTTAACCTTTATATTTTATCTTCTGCCCATTTTTCTTTTACTTTGCTATAACCTGTGCCACAGAGTTACCTGCAGAAGAAGGTGAGCTGCTCCCTTGGGTTTGTGTAATTATTAGCAGATCTTTCATCATATTCTCTAAGTTAAAAGTCTCTCTGAGCTTACCTTTGTTGCATGGGAGATGGCATGGTTGTCTAGATAATTAGTTATTATTGGATTCCCTTGAGGAGGTTGGATGAGGTTTGCACTCTGTTTGTAGCTGAATAGATCTTGATTGAATGTTAAAGATGTATACATATTAAAGATGTATTTGTAAAGGTTTTTACATTTTTACACAATTGTTTGTTGTGTTTACAGGTAAGTCACTATGGGAACTTGTTCTGGAGCAGTTTGAGGATCTGCTAGTTCGGATTCTCCTCCTTGCCGCCTGTATTTCCTTTGTAAGTATAAATCAAAGACTGTGTTTACTCTCACACGAGAGTAGTGCTGGAACAGAACAATAGCACAAGCTTTGCACATTCATAGATGCCAAACACGGATGCATTAATTCTACAAAACTCTAGCAATCTTCATTCATCCACAAATACTACTGCCAAATGTCTGTCTGTCTGTCTGTCTATCTATCTATCTGGTTCAGTTATTTATGGAAAAAGTATTGTGTTAAAATTTTTAACGTATTTAACGCACCTTTGCCCGGCCCAGAGCTGTATGTGATCTTACATTGCATGCAACAGTTGTTGACAAATATGATGCAGGACGACGACTGACTGCAAGATGTAGTCTATTAGAATACAGTGTTACATGCCCCTAAAATTCAAGATATGATGCCATAATTATCGTTAAGCATATCACACAAGCAAGAGTGATTGCAAATATAATATTGATTTTAGGGAACAGTTCAATAAACAAGTTAATATTGTGTTACATTTTAGACACAATATTGTCAGTATCATCTGTTTTTGCTCAACTTCGCCAACAAAAATAGTTAGAAAACACACCACAAGACAATGCCTCAACACAGAGATGTTTCATTTTTAACAAATTGAGTGAGCTGATGATTCAGTAAGCCATTCATAAAGATGGTCACTTGCTTTGTTTTTGAATGAATCAGTAATTTGAGTGAATTGGTTGAATGGATCATTGAATGACTCGCTTGGCCTGACTTGCCGCCACCTGTTGGCGGTTTTAGTTTCATATTTAGACTATCATTTTATTAAAGGGGTCATATGATGCGATTTAAATTTTTCCTTTCTCTTTGGATTATATATTTCAGTATTCAATTAAAAAAAAACATTAATGCCCATTTAAACCCATTAATTGGCATTATGCAGTTCTAATTGCTAATTTTGCCCAATTCTTTTTAAATATGTCTTCTTTACCCAATTTTTTTCAAATATATTTTAAATGCATATAAATTCAAATCTTTATTATCCTTGTTTTAAGAATACATACTAACTAAAATAATGCTTTAGTTCAATAAACATATTTGTGTATAATCAGTTTAATTCTTGCACAGAGTTACAAATAAAAGCCTGGTTTGCAGTCACAAGCTTTGCATATACAAATGTTCACACAAAAATTGTTTGCACTAAATTTAAGATAAAATTTAGAACCAACTTAAAGCCTTATTTAGAATAATTTAGATTTTTAAATGGAAATGTATGTGCCTATGCAGTAGTTGTGAATATGGTGTAACTTTTGCATGGTAACATGGTTTACATTCTATTGTTAAAAATTCGCACTGCCCATGTTTTGCATTACATATTCTCTCTGTCTTTCAGACTCTGGCCTGGTTTGAGGAAGGTGAAGGAACAATCACAGCCTTCGTAGAGCCATTTGTCATCCTCCTCATTCTTATTGCCAATGCCATTGTAGGAGTATGGCAGGTAAAGCCTGTGCAAATTGTTAAATACCTCTTAAATATGTTAATATAAAATATATGAAGCCTTTGGATGAGACGATAATGCAGGACGATTTGCTAGATATTACAACTCACTGTGTGTATGAATCTGTAGGAGCGTAATGCAGAAAATGCCATTGAAGCCCTAAAACAATATGAGCCTGAAATGGGGAAGGTGTACAGACAGGACAGGAAGAGTGTTCAGAGGGTCAGAGCCAGGGACATTGTGCCAGGAGACATTGTGGAGGTGGCTG